TTTTGAATCTTTTGCTTCAGCCTCTACACCAGAGGTATTGTCCCATCTCATTAGAGCCCTCATTTGATGGACTGCTAGCTTTCTTTTATTTCGGAACTGGCTAGAGGAGTTAGTAAAAAGCTTATTCCCTTTTTCCTTTTTCTACAGAAGAATGTAGTAAAAATCACTTGACAGCTTCCACATGCTTCTCTCTGTGTCATAGTTGACCATCTGGTCTTGCTTTGCAGTAAGAGTAATATTCCCTGCTCTTCTGCAGTACTGTAGTATTCCTCATTTTAGCAGTCGGTTGCATACTGGCACAAGGAAGAAGGTACAAAAAATAATTTGCCATCCTGTACATTCACAAGGAGCACTGTTCTGACCTCTAGAAAATGTTCTCCCCTTTGTAATCTGTAAAGTGGCTGGGAATTGGGACATCTTAAACACTCAACAGTTCAGCTGAGCTGATGGCTGAGCCATCTTGTATAAAAATTTGTCACTTCCAGTTGATGTTGCCATCTTAGACCTAATTGCTAGAGGTGTAAATTAAAGCAGGTGAAATGAAAATTCCAGATGGAAATATGAGATCTTACTTTATTTATGTTTACAGATTACAGATGCTTTTATACCATTTCAATTATCTCATTCTAAGCAAATGATTATCTGATTATAAGCGACAATATCCGTTACACTAATTAACAGATTGTCAAATAATCACACTAATACATGCAATCAATCAATTTAAATCATATTACAGTCACAAAAACCATGAAACTTTATATCATCAAAACAACTAGATTCATTCCAAGATCAGATACGGTCAGCCCTCCCAGGTAAACCAGACAGGAAACATGACTAGATGAGCTAATTCCACTTTATGGTAAGGCTACATTAACAGAATCTTGCAAGTCTGAAAGTACAGATCTCCCACTTTACTGCCTGAGTAGTTAGGGTGTGTCCTTCCCAAGTTTCTTTCTCTGGCCATTACTCTGTTGTGGACTCCTTTCTCTTTTATCTGATCGTTCCTTAGGTGGCATCTCTTCCCTGTCTTCCAAGGTGACCGTCACATTCCATTACAGATACCAATTCCATTCTCCCCAAATGTACATTGAGAGGCATGTTTTTAAAAGCCTCCTGAATACATCCTGCAATCAGAGAATGGCCACCTTCAAGTCCCCTCTTTTTGCACCTTATGAGTGAAAACTCAGCAAGCGCTCTCTACAGACATGCCTTTGGTTATGCAGATTCTATCTGGAGCAAGTATTCTCAAAGATAATTGAGTCCCAAGCCATGAGGGACTTTAAAAGTGATCACCACCACCTTGAATTAATCCTGAAAACAAACCAGCAACCAATGTAACTCCTGGATTGCATGGTTACATGGCAAATGCTGGATGTCCTGACTGATATGCAGGGTGCTACATTTTGCACTAGTTACTGTTTCCAGATGGTCTTCAAGGTGACAAGGGCACAAGTGACTGTAATGAGGGACTTCTGTTCCATGAATGGCTGCGTACCAGCTTTTTTCTGGGAGAGCACAACCACATCAACAGTGGTTGGTATTGTCCCAGAGTCAGTCAGTTTCTGAACCCACACCCACTCCATCTTTTAAGGATTGTTTCAGCCTGTGTCTCTCTATTCAGACCATTAAAGCCTCTAGGTACTGGGACAAGATTTCCACTGCATCTCCCACATAGACTGGACTAGAGATATAGAGACTGGCTAGAGATGTATAACAGAGTATCATCTGCATATTGATGGGAGAGTTCCCCCAACAGTTTCCTGGAGATGGCTACATGAAGATGGGAAAATTGTAATTGTTTTAATTATTTTAATTATTGAAATTGTTTGCCATCCAGAGTCACTTGCATTGAGGGTTATAGAAATTGCATAGACAGACAGACAGACAGATAGATAGATAAAAAGGATCAAGCCCTGAGGCATCCCATATTGGAGTGCCCAGGGGCTTGACCTCTCCTCTCCCATATGTGCTGATTGGACCCACACACCTGGGCATTGAACCACCCAAAAAGATGCTTTCAGTTCTTAGCCCTCAAAGTTAGTCTGGAAAGATACCATAGTTAATGGCATTGAAGGTTGGATCATGCTGCTTCCATTTAAGACCCACCATGTGTAATCAAGAGCAACCAATGCAATTTCCATTCCGTACCCATGCCTGAATCAAGACTGGGAAGGTTCTGATCATCCATTTCTTCCAGAGTCCTTTGCAGTTGATGATCCATCACCATCTCAACAACCTTTCCCCAAAAGGGGAAGTTAAATATTGGGTGGGGGTTGTTCAATACAGCTGGGTCCAGGGTCAGTTACTTAAGGAATGGTTGCACTAAGGCCTTCTTCAAATACATTGACATCTCCACCCTCCCACAGTAAGGTTTCAAAACTGCCCAGACCCAGTTTCCTATTCTCTCCCTGGTAATGTAGGGATCAAGCCTACAAGTGACAGAGCTCATATCCCAGTGCTTCCTCAGGATCAAACTTTTCCCATCAAGCATTGCTAGATGTTACTCTTGGACCTCTGTCTTGTGGATTTCTAACTTGGAATGAATGCAAGCGATTTTGTCTGCAAAGTCTCTGCCAGCAACTCATCCCAACTCCTGTTCTAGGGTCAGGAACAAGCGAGTGATCTGAGTAGTTGAACTGGAATGCTAAATGTCCATGACATGTAATCTAAATTGAGTATGCTGAGGAAATCTTATTTCACTGGTCACTGCCATTAGTTAGCTTCCTGGCATCCCCACTCAGGCTTCTCTTTTGACTCAGCAAGGACTAGAAAGCTGCTTATCAGCAAGAGATGAAGCACACTCACTGTTTACTTTGTAGAATTTCATGCTTTGGGAGATTCTTGCTGCCGTTTCAAGCTTCTGCTGCTTCGTGACTTCTCTTGGATGTCTGTGCTTCACATTTGTATGTGGATGTTGATACTCTGACAAAAATGAGAAGCAACATGGTTTCTGTCCCCATAACTTTACTATGAAGTTCGGTGCTGATTTCTCTAGCTGGAAGACAACCTGGGTTGTGCCTCAGGATAGATAGTTTCTGACTAAAAAAAAAGCAACCATTTTGAGAATAACTCATAGACTCTGTGAATCCATCTGCCCCATTTTCTTTGTCCTTTTACTGTATGCAGAATGAATGAATGAATGCATTTCAAGTTTAGGATGAATGCAGTAAGTTAACATGGGGAGAAACATAGCCTACGGTTGCTAAGGCAGGACTCCAGCATGTTCTTAAAGAGCAAGTGATCAGCTTAACCAAGAGTATCTTGTGTCACAAGAGAGTACATATATACTTTCTAAATATCACAATGATTAATATTGAAATCAATCAAGATACCCACAGCTTTCTTTATAGACCACAGCAGTTGGTCTGGAAGCTGCCATGAGTAGTAGAATGCAAATGGGGGCTTCCTAACATTTTGGTTATTTATATTATTGGGAAGATTTATAACCCACCTTTCAGAACATGGTTCCCAAGGGGGAAACAATTGTTACAATATAAAATACCTAAAATCCACTTGGGAGAATAGCTGCTACTCAGTTCATTAAAGCCAAATGCAGTTAACTTGGAACTTCAAGACCCTCAAAGGTTTTAAAAGCACACTTTGCAAAAGGTGAGTGATCCCTGATCTGGTGCACTTCAATGAGAAGCTGGCTCCATCTTTCTCTGTTTGCTGTATGATGGACTGAAGTCAGAATATCCAGTGCTACTCCCTCCTAGCTGCTTCTATGGAGCATATTCTCACAATATTCCTGTTTTCCCAACTTTGATGCCTCCCCTGCTTGCCATTTTGTAAAATGTATCCCAGTAGTCTATGTACTAGCCTAGTAGAACACAGCAACCTTTTCTCTATTGCCCAAGATAACCTGGCCATGTGCAGAAGCCTTGAAGACCAAGGAAACAAACAAGCAAACCCCACCCCAAACAAAAAAGAAAAAAGCAGGAGTGGGGGAACAGCTGAACAAAATGTTCATGTTGTTGTTTTTCATGAGGAAAGAAAAAAAAAACCATAGGACTTAGATCTGCCATCCACTAGAAGGCAAACTCACTTCTTTTGGAAGGAAAAAAGCGCAACCCTTGTAGCCAGAAGTTAGTCTCTCATTCCACCAGACCTAGATCACTGTAAAGTAAGGATTGGTTTGGGTCTGTCAGTTTCCCATATTTTATTCAATCGCGTCTGTTCTAACCAATCCCATATGCATTTGCAAATGTTAAAAACATTTTTAGAAATTCCTCTTCTATGCAGTCGTGTGCATTTTTGTATCTGATTTTTGAGCTGGGAACCACACTATAAAAGTCAAGACACACAGAGACCAAAGAACAGTCTGCCTTCTATTTTTGCTGATATTTACACAATAGCAGTGATTTGCACACATTTTTTTGTATTTGTATTATACATGCACGCACACACATATACACAGAGTGCAGATGTGTCCTGGGTAACAAGGGGACATAGGAAGCTAAATTTGCATGATATTGTCTTGTAGTAGTAGGTTTCCTCCAAAGAGTTAAGGGCAGCACCCAAGGGCTAGCTGTTTGATCCCACTTCCTAAATTGCTGCAGTCAGTAGGTTGAGAGAGTTATCAATATGTTGTTCTGGCTTCTGATGTGGACAACTTTAAAATGGGATTAAAGACATTCATGAAACACATTGCTGCCAATGGCTCCTAGTCAGGATAATTTTCTTTCAGTATCCTAGGAGGCCTGCCCCTTGGTATCAGTTCTTGAGGAATGTGAAGCACTGATTGTGGTCTTTCCTGAGGCATCTCCATGACCTTGTGTGACCTTGGTCTGAATGCATGTTGAGTGGATCGATCAAAAACAGCAATCCCTATGTTCACATTCAAACCTGTTTGTTGACTTTTCAGACCCCTTTTTAAGTGTCCTGTGGAGAGAGAGCCATTTCCTCACGGTGTTTCTGTGTTCCTGAAGAGCAGAGGAAAGACAGAATGATTCCACTTTCCTGGTCTCATTTAAGAAATCTCTTCTGTGTCTTGTTTTTAGCCTCCGGCCACTTGACATTGAATTCATGAGACGCTTGAGCAAAGTAGTTAACATTGTGCCTGTCATCGCCAAAGCAGACACATTAACTCTGGAGGAGAGGGACTCCTTCAAGCAAAGGGTAAGGGGGATGGGATGGGATGGGACGGGACGGGACGGGACAAGGTCCTTCCTAACTTTTCTGGGTCTCTTCCCTTCTCCCGCACCATTCCCTGAGACCCAGGACCCAGCACACTGCTTGGGCCACAGTTCAGAGCAATCTTGCCTGATAAGAGGAAGGGCCTTCATCAGTTTCCAAGCACTATATGTGTTTCTCTTGGCTTGCTCTCTTTTCAGGGTGGGAAAATAAACTCAATGGCCCCCTCCATTTTGCAGGTTTTCCTCCAGGTGGATTTTAAAAACAGACCTCTTTATTAACATTGCTCTGATAAAAGAAACTTGCTATGTGTGACTTAAAGGTAGTCAGTAGCTTTTCTCATTGCTTAACTGTACCACCCACATGTCCAGCCCTGTTTGGAGAGAGATGTCTCTGCTCTCATCCTGCTGAAGTTAACCACCCTGACTGTCTTCATTTGCTTTGTTTTGACCCTACCATTAATGGCCCTACCAATTAGTGCTGTTAAAGGTCTTCTGTTTTATTTAATTGTTGCATTTTTCCTATGAACGTGGAAAAAAGATGGTTGCAGGTTTCTGCTACAGATGCCAAAAATAACTTGGCTAGTCTTCAGTATTTTGCCCCTTGACTTCACAGCCTAAAGCAAGACACAGTGGTACCTCGGGATACGAACTTAATCCGTTCCGTGACTCTGGACGTATCCCGAGTTGGTCGTAACCCGAAATGTTCGTTAGTAGAGGCGTTCGTATCCCGAGGTACCACTGTACTTTTATTTTGGATCAGCCTGCAGATGAATTACAGTTTGTTTCCTTGCAGGACAAAATTGAGCCTTTGGACCAGCTTCCAAACACTGCTGTTTTTGAGCAGGTGGCTTAAGAGCCATAGTGTACTATCAGTGCACAAGGACTGCACAAAGCTGCTTTAAACATCTAAACCCAAGAGACTGCAGGAAATTTCTCACATACAGGAAACTTCTCACGTACTGAAATCCCTATGACTATTGAGTGTTTACTTCCAGCATTTATCTAGTTAACTGTATTCACAAATGATAATGGTTGATTGTTTGGTGGCTTTACTGCATTTTGTATATCTTTTTGGATGGCATTGTGCTTCCCAGTCTATTCAAACATTGTAGATTCACACCTCCTTAGCTTCAACAAAGTTGCCTTAATTCATACCTTGCAGGCTAGCTGTGGGTGATAAGAATGCGACCAGATACAGAGGCCACTACAATTCTTTCTTGTATAGCTTGGTCAATAAGGACCTTTTATTGGCATGTCTGTCTAATTACAGCATTGTTATGTTCACTGTCCTTTTGTTCTTAGATTACAGCAGATCTCCTTGCTAATGGCATAGATGTATACCCCCAGAAACAGTTTGATGAGGATTCTGAAGACCGATTAATAAATGAAAAATTTAGGGTAAGTGCAAAGATCCCTTTTAATACACATTTTGTTTGTGTTTAGAGGTTCACACCAGACTTTCAGTTTGGGCTTCAAGAATTCTTCTCAATTATATTTAAATATATTTATCTATTAGATTTATGAGTCATTAAAAAAATCTGCAAGGTAGCCTATTTCCTTGAGTCTGATGTAAAACTGATGATGATTTAAGGGCTCTTTCAGTTAGGGATGCATTTGCAACAGTAAATCAAATGAAGTTCCCCACTGTGCTTCAGCAGCTTCCTGCTGTAGTTTCAAAGTTTTTTGGCAAATGGGGAGCTCCCCAAAACATCTAGTTTATTTATTTATTTATTTATTTATTTGAGGGGGAAGGAGTTTGCCTTTGGAGACACAATTGAGGAGGTAGGATGAAAGTCTCCTTACTAGCCAGCAAAGGAGCAACGAATGGACAAGAAGAGCAAGTTCTGGTTGGCCGTTGGCTCTGTGAACTCTGTAGACTTCTAAAGAAGTCAACATGCCCATTCCCAGAGTAAGTTGGTGGTCTGAAACTACCTGAGGATTCTACTCCCACTTGACATGGTGGCATGTTGGCCACAATTTTACTAAGCAACTTGCAAAATATAAAACAAAACTCTTTCACATCTGACACAAAGGGTAAAAAGAAAATGCCAGTATCAGGAGAAGTCTTCTAAACGTTTTCCATAACAATCCTCATCCTCCATCCCCATGCCAAAAAACAAACCAGCCAATAGAATTACCTAATTAATTAACTAGAAAAATAAACTTGTATAAGCCTAGCATTAAAACACACTGAAGTGAGCATCAGGGAAGATCTTAGAAGACATATTCACAGTTTGTTGAGGGATTGTCAGCCCTTCAAGGCAGACCAGACTAGCAAATCAGTGCCATGTAGGTCAGTACTACTTGTATTGTAAAGCTAAAATAACAGAATCTTGTAAGTCTGAATGTGCTTCTCCCCTCCCTCCCTCCCTCCCTTTATGTGAACTAGGGATGGGCTTGTCTAAGACATTTACTCACATTACATTCTTGGCCTGGGCTCAGACCCCTTTTATCTGACCATTGCCTTGGTAGTGGCTCTTCCTCCTGTCCTTCATGCCCATTTCCTCTTCCCTCTACATTGGGGGACTGTCTTAAGCCCCTTCAGGCTTATTTTATTGATTTATTTGTTTACCCGGCTTTGGGGCTGTCCCAAACAGCTGACTCTGAGTGGTGTACAACTTCCCGATATGCAATTGGGATTAAACTATACAAATAGAAGTCAAATTAAAAGCAACACATCCCCTTAAATTAAGCCTGGAAGTAGATGGTGAGCTACTGCAGATGAAAAGAGGCTATCATTAATTTGTCCACAATCCCTGGTTCTGATATTAACAGTCTTGCTACCATATTCTGCTCAGATTGTTAAGTCTTGGAAAATAGTAGATATGGAAGATAGATGGTTTTTCTCTGAAAGTCTAAAATTTACCGTTCCTCGTGAGTACTTCACAAACAAAAAGCTAGTCTCAAAAAGACCCTTATATTTAATTTGGCTATCCCTTCTTCACCTCTGGGCTTTTGTTAATCCCCAGATGTGGAGAAACTCTTGCAGATTTGGCTGGACCAAATCTTAGAAGTCTGAAAAATAAAGCGGGGTGGGTGGGGGTGGAGGACATAAAGCCGTGTCTTTCAATTGTCTAATATGGCTGCAATGAAAAGGAGCTGGTTTGTTTCACCCTCCATTCTGACCCAGAAATTTCACCGTAGGAAATGATTCCATTTGCTGTGGTGGGCAGTGACCAAGAATACCAGATTAATGGAAGGCGAATTCTGGGAAGGAAAACAAAATGGGGCACAATTGAAGGTAAGAATTTCTGTTTGTTGTTTTCTTGCCGTTATTGTGGCTTTTGGTTTGCTGAAGTCGCATCTTGAATGTGCAAAGATGGCAATGTACGTATCCCTTTTTGCAAAACAGTGTGCTTTGCTGCCCTCCGCTGGACAGAATAAGAATCCCGTTTTGTGGTTAGGTTGCTCAGTCATTGCTTGAATTCCTGTTGGTCTCTAGCATTCAAATTGTCAAGGATAGTAAGAGAAGACAGTTTTGATTTGTTGCTTCATCAGAAAGCTCCCCTGCCTCAAGTTTAACTCTACGTCTCCATCCAAATGCTCAGTTTTTAGAGACTGTAGAAAGACAAGATGCAAAAAAGGGAATTCCAGAATCCCAGGCTGGCCCAAAACTGTTAAAGGAACATGGCTGAAGATGAAATGAGGCAACATCCTGAGACGTTCTGAAAGCACAGATGTCTTCCTGTGATTTATCACTGATTAAGAAAGCAATAGGCAGTAGCTGTCTTCGGAGACTAGAGGAAAGGTAGTTGTGGGTTGTAACTTCATCAGCGTATGTTAACTGCAAGTGGCAATCATTCTGCGTCTTTGTAAAAATTTATATCCATTCTGTTGTTGTTCACATACTACCTGGTATAAATCTCAGAGATTTAAAACCAAGTTATAACATAACATTTTGCATTCAGTGGACAACACAATTATGCTGTGAATGACTCCATAAATACTGCTTTAAAGAGCAAGCAGAATAGCAAGCATAATTATGAAAAAAACAGACATGCCTGCAGGTGTTTCCCAGGGCATCTGTATGGCACCCCCGTTCTTCCAATCCTTTCTCCCTTCTTTCTTTCCTCTCCCTCATTACGTTTTCTGTGAAGACTTGCCATGCCTTACTGTCCCTGAGCTGAAGCATATGCAACTGACTTAACAACCCCAGATTGTTTCTTTCATCATCACCCCTTCCCCTTCCTCTCCCTCTCCTCTGTTTCCCTTCTCCTGAACTTTAAATTGCAAACTCTTTAAGGCAGAGACCTCTCCCTCTGTATTGTGAAGTGCCATGCGGACTATTAGCCATGTATAAGTAGGATTTAACTTTCATCATCACCCCTTCCCCTTCCTCTCCCTCTCCTCTGTTTCCCTTCTCCTGAACTTTAAATTGCAAACTCTTTAAGGCAGAGACCTCTCCCTCTGTATTGTGAAGTGCCATGCGGACTATTAGCCATGTATAAGTAGGATTTAATTCATGCCCTGTAGAGATTTTAATATATTAAAACTGTGGAACCAAATGGGTTGAAGGAAATCTTTCGAAGGCACATCCTTTACCTCTTGCTCTCTCATTATGGACTGTAAACATTATTACAGTTATCCCATTCCCTGTAGCAGCTAATGCAAAGAAGGCTGGGATCCCACCTCACTGAGACTATAGCAAATGAGAGAAAGACAGCTTTAGTCTTTATTTTTTGAACTATGTGTTTTATTACTTCCTTGAACTGGATTGCGATTCTGTTATAACCCTATCTCACATGTTACAGGAGCAGATATATCTATGTGTTAATTCTCCTTGAATCTTTGAGATCATAATAGTTTTGCATCTTCCTTGAAACTGTTTTAAGAGGATAGGATTGCAGGGGCATGTTTATTGAAATATCTAAGCCTGCTTAGCTTAGCAGGAATGACAGAAGCTTTTCCAACAGTTGCTGTTGATGCCCATTTCATCGGCATTTGTACGTCGGTATATGTTGCTTCTGCTACAAAGTTCGGATTTTTGTTTTTAAAACCCTGTGAAGGAGTCCCAAGTGTTAAAAGTTGAAATGCAAAAAGGATTTCCTACGTCAGAGGGCTGGAATGGACCAGCAACCTGGCATGAAATGACATTCCCTTCTTTAATGAAGTACTTTTTCTTGAAAGAAAAGAAAGGAAGGAAAAAGGAAAGTCATTTTAAGCCTTCTGCTTCCCCCCTGTGGCCAGTTCTTGTATCTCATGAAAATAGTGAGGGTGTTGGAAGGCAGAAGTTTGTGATCAAGTGTTTTTGGAAGCATCACACACAGAGGAATAGAGAGTGTAAAGTCAGAACATAAGACAATTGAACTAAACCACTATGAGAGGATTTCCTCCTGCTATTCTAGCCCATTAGAACTAGGGCACTGCACTGTGTTTAGTGCTGCAGATTCTTCATAAACTGAATGGCTTTTGGAACTCTGTCTTACTG